AAGAAAGAAAGAAAGAAAACAAGAGAAAGAGAAGGAAGGAAGGAAGGAAGGGAGGGAGGGAGGGAAGGAGGGAGGGAGGGAGGGAGGAAGGGAAAGGAGAATCTTGCCCTCAAGGGGCTTACATTCTAGTAGGCTCACAAATCTAATCTATTTATTATTTAAACAAAATGTATTACAGGACACTTTAGTCAGATTCATCCATAAGTAGATAAATACCCCATACCCAGTTTCAACATTTACCAACTTTTGACTGATCTTGTTTAATCTATATCCTTATCCACCTTCCTGTCTCTTCTATTACTTTGAAGTAAATCCCAAACATTACATTGTAAAGGTTTTTCGTTATTAACTTCTGCCTCAATGAGATATACTTCACATAAAAGAAAACACTCCTTTAGCATTTTGAGTCTCAATAAGCAAATCAAGTGTATAAAGCCCCAACAAATACCCACCATCATCAAGGTGCTTCTAACCCTTGGGGACCTGCAGGACAGAATGGAAGGGCCTCTTACCAACGCTGTAAACTTTATAAAAGAAGAACACCCTCTTTTTCTCCTATGAAGGATTCAAAATGCCTATTTGTTGTTGTTGTTAGCAGATCAATTCTTTTTTTTAAAAATCGAGATCTTAATGAAAGTTTATAAAGAACATGGATTTCCATTCATTCATTGTTACACATTTTTCTCCCTGCCCACTGCTCCCCAGTTTGCTTTTCTCTTTGGAAAAAAAAATTCTTTCATTGTTATACAATCCCCACCCCCAGTCCACTTTACTATGCATCGCTTATTCTGTACTCGTGTCATGACAAAAATACCTAATCATATATTCCATTTAAGCAGTTCTCTCCTTCATCTGTTTCAATGCAGTGTACATTATTTATTCCCTCTTTTCTTAGTTTCCCGCAACCCTGATGTCAGTCCTGTTTTATAACAGTGGCATTATGCAGTGTTTGTCCTTTTGTGACTGAGATATTTCACTCAACACAATGTCCTCCAGGGTCACCCATTTTGTATATCTAATGAGTTCCTTGTTTTTCAATGCTGCATAGTATTCCATTGTGTGAATGTACCACAGCTTCTCTATTCTTTCATTTGTTGATGGACACTTGGGTTGTTTTCATCTCTTTGCTACTATGAACAACGCAGCAATACATATGGGTGTGCATGTATCTGCTTGGGTGGTAGTTCTGGATTCTTTAGGGTATATTCCCAGTAGTGGAATTGCTGGGTCAAATGATATTTCTACTTCCCACTTTGTGAGAAAGCACCATATTGCTTTCCACAGTGGTTGCACTATTTTACACTCACACCACGGTGAATAAGGGTTCCAGTTTCTCCACAACCTCACCAGCATTTGTTGTTTGCTGTTCTGTTACATTTTGCTATTCTAACTGGGGTGAAATGATATCTCATAGTTGTTTTGATTTGCATCTCTCTCAGAGCTAGGGATTATGTGTTTGTTTGCCATCTGAATATCTCCTTTGGTGACGTGTCTGTTCATATTTTGTGCCCATTTTTCAATTTGATTGTTCACCTTTATCTTGTGGCGTACAGTCTATTTTCAAGTATGAGAACTTCCTGTATCTATCTTCTCAACTTTTGTATTAAGAAGAAGTTCTGATGGCCCAACAGTGGGAGAATTTGGCCATTCACCAGACAGCTGCTGGTTCAAACCCATGAGCTGCTCCAAGAGAGAAAGATGAGGCTGTCTGCCCCTGAAAAGATCTAAA